AATTTTTTATTTATTAAATTTTTTATTTATTAAATTTTTTATTTATTAAATTTTTTATTTATTAAATTTTTTATTTATTAAATTTTTTATTTAAATTTTTTATTTTATTTATTAAATTTTTTATTTATTAAATTTTATTTATTTATTAAATTTTATTTATTAAATTTTATTTATTAAATTTTATTTATTTATTTTATTTTTTTTTTTAATTGCGCATTAAACTTTATTAAATTTATTTATTAACTATAGCTTATTTCCCTATTATCCTGCACACAATAAAGCTAATTCACTTTCAGGAATTCTTCTATGAGACTTGAATTTTTTACATGCATACTCTGCCAATTTATCCATCAATCCTGCACGATATAACTTCATATATTTTTACGATTTTTGAGCGAACTTCCTAATTGTAATAACATCTACTGAATCAAGTGCTCGTAAAACAGTTTCTTGCAAGCTGGTCCATGTGTAATTGCAATAATCTCTTGCATATTTTTTAGCCACTCCTCAATACCTTTTGATAAAGTTAAGTTTATAGTGAAACTTTGGATAAAAAATACAGATATGGCTGGCACCTTTGATTAGTCCCACAATAGTAGATTTTTGGATGACGAAATCTGGTTGAGAAGCCATAATTTTTTTTAAGCAGCAATCTATTTGGCCTGAATTCTCCTTTTTTTTACACTTTGGACAATCTAAATTTAACCCTTTTTTTAAAAGCCCCCTTTCTTCCAACATTCTTTTTATTCCTTTTGGCTTTCCTCTTATATTAAGGTCAAGATAATCCTTCTCGAATACCATTTTCTGCACTTTCTGTTGGTCATTGATATCAGTAAAAGTTGTTGATCACATTATGTTTTGCTTCCTGCCAGGTTCTTTGTTCATTTTTTGTACAATAAAGGCATCATCTGCAAATGCTATATGATTCATACTGTTATCAAAGGTGAAGACAGCTGTTGTATTAGAGAATTTTGTTTCAAAAATAGGGATTGCCTTTTTTTTAATTTGTTTAATAAATGTTTAATTATCCAAAAATTTTCTTCATTTTTACCAGGTATAAGATAACAGCGTGCTTCTGCAGAAACATTGGGTTGGGTTTTTTCTTCTTTTTCACTTAGTCATAATCGACCACATGCCTCTGAAACAAATTCGCTTATTATAATTGATTTTTCATTTCCTTTTTTACACAATGGCATCCACCCATTGTACATCCAGATCCCTCTTTTTCCATCATTTGAATAGAAGATACACTCATCATGAGTGATCAAAATTAACTCTCGCTCATTCACTTGAAGCACTGGTGGAATCAGTTCTATTTTTGGTCCTTTATATATTTCCATTCATTATTCTAAAACCTTAATTTCTTCTAAAAATCTATTTCGATATTCAACAACATTCCTTTACTCATGCCTATCAAAGTACATACCTTTCTGGTATTTATTAAACTGACATCCTAAGACATTTAACCATCTTTTAGCTGTTCTCAGGCTAATTGACTTTCTTATTTCTCCAGTATGCTCAGGTAAAATGGCAGAGTCAACATACTGCTTAATTTGAAATGAACTAATATCATTTAACCCTGATTCTTTCCTTATCAATTGTTTACATTTTAGTGTCACATCCTCATTATCAACTAATCGTTTGAATTTTTGATATTAGCCATGATAGGAGAGCAGAAATGATTTATGATGCAAATAAAATTTACCAAGAAAGCAGATTCTTTTGGATTTGTATGGGCCTGAGTTGATATAAACTATACCTACTGCAATTTTACTTGCTTTTAACTTTTCATGACTATCATATAGCCTTATAAAATATTCATAGACAGCTCGTCTTTTGTTATATTCAAAAGCAGTGAATGCTTTTTTATTTTTTAAAAGATCTTTCTGAAGTTGAGCAATTACATCACCAAGTTCATAACTTGTCTCCTTACTATTATCACCACCTTCATCATCATCACTATTCATGTTTTTGTTTTTATTGTCATTCAATTTTACCAAAATTGAATATGCCAAGAATGCTGACCGTAAAGCTGAATATATTGATACTGATGTTGAAGGCCCAAAAAAACTGGTAATCTTGTAAGTTTCTTTGGCAGCACTGTTAAAAGTGTTGAAGGCACCAAACTTGTGATAATAGGTTGATTTTGGCATACCCTTTACTGTTCTTATTTCTGATTTTTTTTTTCATAAAAGGGGTATGGTAAGTAAACATCTTTGCATCATTTCATCTTCATCCATATCTTTATCTTTCTCTTGATCACTATCTTCAGAACTTTGTTCAACATCCTTCTCTTCTAACTTATTCACTTTCTTCCATCTTTCTTGAGCTGCTTTCTTTCATTGATTTTATATTCATGAAGCTTAGCATGTTTTTTTTTCTTGACTATATTTAAACTTAGTTGAAATGGTTTTTTTTTTTTTTTTTTTTAAAAAAAAAGAGTGGTATTCAAAGCCTGGCGACACCCAATTTTGACTTCAAATGACCTTTCAGTAACTACACCAGTAACCAGTAATAACTAATTACTAATTATTCAGATAAGGCACTAATCTATCTTTTTGCTTCTTTTCATCTTGCTAATTCATCTCACTTATTCTTCTTACTTATTCGTTTTGCAGCAAACTTTTTTTGATTAGGTTTAATTACAGTGTAGCTTCATCTTGTTATTCAGATTAACTATAGCACTATATATTCAGCTTTAAATTAATGCATGATTATTGATAATGCTGTAATGTAGACCATTAAAATAAAAGTTGATCAAAAACATGATTGGTTATTAGCCAATCAAGTGTAAAAACAAACTTTGATTGGATAATTACAGATCACATTATCTGTCCCATTTTCAGTCAAGTATATAAAAATACAACTTTTTCAACCCAATATATCTTGATAACAGGTGATTGTAAATTTAAGAAAAAGCCGCTATTTTGTAATAACCTGATTTAGTTACAAAATAGTAGCTTTTTTTTTTTGGTACCATATGTGCATGATTTTTAATTACATTTTAAAAATAGTGATGCCTTTAGGTATCCTGCACTGTACAACATAGAAAAAGCAAAGAAAACTAAAAAATTTCTTAAAAAAATACTTGAAAATTTGAATAGTTGTTGTATTTTGGGGAATTGGCACTAACCTGGTATCACAGATCTGTTTTGGTCACAAGAACATAAACAAACAAGTAATTCAACTATGTGTAGGGCAAGCAAAACAAATATGTGCTTAATATAGATAAAAATATGGATATAACCAAAAGATGTAACAGCAATCTAATAATAATATATATCAATAGAGCATACTGGGCTATCAATAGTGTGCAAAATGGTATATTTATCAAGCAAGTAGATGAAACATATGTATTGCCTAGCAGAGAAGATAAAATTGTTGTCATGTTGACAAATCAGAATTTAGAAAAAGTTATTCTACTAAGATTAACAAGAGAATTAATATATAAAGCAGAGAAAGAGCAACTAGAAAGGAAATTAAGTTTAGTAGAGCAAAGCAACTATGCAATGATAATAGAACCCATTCCAGAACAAGGTCAAGACAGACTTAAGGAGAAATGTAACCAAGCTACAAGAATTAGAAAGACACAAAAGACAGAACAAGACCAAACATTAAATAAGAAACCAGAAGAAAGGAATCAACATGAAGCAAGGGCCCAAGAAATCAACAAGATAGTACAGAAAAAAGAGGCAGCAAAGGTAAGTACCAATAACAACAGCAAGATGGAAGTAGAGCAAATCCAACAAAAGCAAGAGAATTTATCTAGTCAAAAAAGAAATGCAAAAAAACAAAGAGAAGAGCAAGAACAAGAAGTCAATGCACTAGAATTCAAAAAAGAAATTAACATAGTAAAAGAATCTCTTGAAGAAAGCATATGGGCCCTAAGCAAGAAAAATTGTAACCAGAGCAATAGCCTACTCGCAAATATATCAGCACACAATGTGCCAAGAAAAACAAAAGAAAAATGTTTAAAGTTTATTAAATGGTCCTTAAGAAATAATATATATGTCAAAAATGTAAAAGAAGTCTTCAAAAAGGGAAATTTATAAGTAAAAGTTGACTTTGACTATAAGTATAGCAGAAATGATGCTATACAGAAAATCAGCAAAAAGGAGAGTGACTGGTATAGAATAATATCAAAAGAAAAAGATAATACTATAAAAAGACAGATGCAACATATGGAGAAAAGTCAAAAGAGAAACAGTAGCAAATTGAGAACCAAAGAAGAAGAATTCAAAGGGAAAAAAAATGAAAACAAGACAAATGAAAACCAATATGAAACAAATGAAAAATCAGAAAACACAAGTTATTTAACAATTTGGAACCTACCTGCAGATATAAATGAAAGAGAACTGAAATACATCTGTAGAAAATTTAGGAAGGCCCATATAGTAAGAATTAAGAAATCCAAGTATAAAGCCTTAGCTGTGGTCAAGATTGTAAAAACATATGAAGACATCTCATGGGCAATACCAGTAAATAAAAATAAACTGGTATGAGTAACCAAGGGAATAGAAGACTATGAAGCTAGAGAAGGACAAAGAAAATATGCAGCAAGACTAACAGAATTACCAGGAAGCATCTCAGAAGTCTTACTACTACAAAGTCTAAGAAACAAAGATGCCAAATCAGTTTACATCCTACCAAATAGAAATAGGAACCAAAAAAGATTAGCAATAGTCATGTTTACAACAGAAAGAGGCATAAGAGCTGCCTAAACAAAACTGATTATATATAACAACTTTTGAGTTTATTGGATAAATAAAGGAAAGAGAGAAACAAGAAAAAGAAAAAGTCTTGAAGTAGAAAGAGGAAGAAGCTGAGACAGATACAACCAAACCTTACATACAGAAGAGAATAGAAGTAGTAGAGAAAAACAACAAAAATAAGGCCTATGAAAAAAGTATGAAAATAGAAATAATGCAAGCCAGAAGAATTTTTTACTAAACAAAAGAAGCAGGTCTCAAAGCTGAAGTAAAGGAAACTAAATAAAAGATGCAAAGATGAAGAAAGAAAAATCAGAAGAACATGAATGAAGACCAGAAAAATTCAAGATACACAAACAAGAAGAAGAACCACACATAGAGAACTTCTTGAAGCAAATTTAGAAGAGATTAGAAAGACTAGAAGAGACAAAAGAAACAGTTAGAGAGAGCCTAGCTAATCACTCTTGATGGTGCCTTAGTTGAAATTATGAATAGGAATGAAGAGATCAGAGATTTTCTGCAAGATGAGAGAAGAATCTTTGAAGAAAAAAATAAAGAGAAATCTTCTAATCCAAAAGAAATAAAGAGAAGAAAAAGAAAAAAAAAAGCAGAAAATACAGAAACAAGATATAAGCAATTAAAAGAGAAATGGAAAAAAGGGAAAAAAGAGATAAAAATTGCATGTTACAATGTTAACAGACTTAAGACCAGAGGTTGGAAACTAGAAAACCTGCTAGGCTGAGCAAAAGAAGAAGAAATAGCATTTTTGAGAATTATGAAAACAAACATTACAGAAAATAAAGGGAAAATCTTAGTATATAACCTTAATACAAGATTTAAAGGTTACTGGACAAGTGCAGTACCAGACAAGAAAAAAGAATCAGGCATTGGAATTTTAATAGATGAGACTTGGAAAAAACATGTTGAAGCAGTTAAAAGACCTAGTAAATACATGATAGAAGTAAGGCTATAATTCAAACAACTAGTACTAATAGTGATAGGAGTGTATATTTCACCAAATGACAAGGCAACCAGTAAGAAGATATAACAAAAAATTGTGGAAATAATAACAAATAAGAGAAAGCATACAGAAGTAATTGTAGTTGGAGATTTTAATCATACAGTTGACAATATACTAGATCGACTGCACTCACAAATAACAGAATATAAAAAACTGCCAGTTTTTAATTGGCTCAAGAAACAGGATTTCACAGACTCTTTTAGAAGCTTGCATCACAGAGAGAGCATACACATAGTCAAACCAAGAAGCAGCAACAAGAATTGACTATATCGGGTTGGCAGAAACTATGGTAGCTGGCCTTTAAGAAGCCAATATAGAAGAAGCAGAAGAAATAACAGGCAGTGACTATAGAATATTAATGACAGTTATATGGTTGGAACATGTAATTGCAAACCAGAGTTATGCAAAAATCAAATGCAAAGACCAAATAAGAACAATATATCTGTATGAGGAAGCAAAGCAAAAAGATTAAGAAGAATATGCTAAAGAGCTTCAAGTACAATTAAAATAGAAAAAGATCCTGAAACAGTTAGAAGAAGACAGAGAAGTCAATATATACAGTACAAATTTGTTAGATCATATATGGAATGTGATAGAAGAAGCTATAACAGAAGCAGCAAATAAGCAAATTCCAAAAAGAAGATATTTAACACAAAAGTAAACAGAAGACAGCATCAGAAAAAGCTACAGCAGAATAGATATATAATCGAACTTCAACAAATAATTAAAAAGGTGAAAATGAGAAAAAACCAAGAGATAGAAAAAAAAAAAAAAAGAGATAAACAATAAACTCAAAAACATTGGCAAAAAAATAGGAGTAGCATTACTGAAGCTACACAAACAATGGTCAGAAGCATGGATAGATGACATAAAAGGTTGGCAAAGAATTCTGAAAGATAAAAGAAAAGAAGAGTAGGAACAAGCTCTAAAAAAACAGATAGAAGAAAATATAAATAGAAGATGTAAGATGATAAAGACTGATTAAGGATGAATGATTGCTAGCCTACTGAATAAACCATACAAGAAGATAATATTAGACAGATTTATGCCCAAATTGAAGATAAGGTCAGTCTAACAACAGAACTCAAGGCTGTCTTAAATGACTTGGCAAAGCACTTTGAAAATCAATTCAGAAAGTAAAAAACCAAACTGAAGAAAATGTCAAAAAAATGAATAAAGATATACAATTCAAAAGAATGAATTAAGGAGTCTTGGTATAAGAAGTTAGAGGAAAAGA